GAGAGAGAGAGACAGTGTGTGTGTGTGTGTGAGAGAGAGAGAGTGTGTGTGTGTGTGTGTGTGTGTGAGAGAGAGAGTGTGTGTATACCTACTTAACCATATTTTGGAGAACAAATTGGTAACCCAAAAGTGAGCTAAACCTGACAAATTCTCCAAAAGTCTAAGTAATGTTTATTTATGTTTTATTTAGATAGCAAGTAATAGTGTGTGTGTGTGGTTGGAGTGGTGTGTGTGTTCAGCCCTGTGTTTTTCTCAATGTCATCTATTTGTTCACATTGTCTTTAACTCTGCCGTATAGCTGTGTTTGGTCATGTATGCTAATGTGCCTCTCACGTGTTACAGCGTGTCCATATGGGGCATGTTGTCACATTTCACTTCCATTCTTTCGGGGTAATTGAGGGGAAAAAAGTATACACCATATCAATGAAACAAGACCACATATTTGTACAAGACATGTGAAATTAATATGGAAAAATAAATACTCTGAACCTAGTTTGTGAATTTAGACAAACTGAGAAAGCCAAAAAGTGTTGGAATATGTGTCCCACTCCCCTACACACTCATTTTCCTTCATGGTCTGTATGGACCCCCTGAAGGAGCCTGTGTTTAAATCTCTCTCTCTCTCTGCTCTAGGTGTCTTAGCAACATCAAATCAGAAGTGACCGCTCGGCTTCTGTGTCGTCCAATCACGTTGCTCGGACGCTCACTGCTTTTATTGCTCTGTTTGAAGTCCATTCAGTCATGAATAGATTCAGAATCACATTATAGCGGCGTTGATTGTTGCCATGACGACTGACCTCAAGCCCCCTCCTCCCAAACGGTTACCCCACCCCCACGCGGCTCAGTTACCCCGCCCCCTCCAGGGACTCCATCTTAAGACATTTAATGATGGACAGAAGAAAGAGAAACTTAAATGTATAAAAGCATATGTGTGGCTCCTGAGGATTTGTTCAGAGATCAGTCACATTCATCTGAGCGTTTGGTGGATGATAAAAGTGCTGAAGAACCTTTGGAATATTTATGAATGAATATTTATTAAACATGAATATTTATGAACATCATTTGTTCTTTGATTATATTCTTATATAAACATATTCAATAATCAAAGGGTTAAAGGGATAGTTCATCCAAAAATTATAATTCTCTCATCCTCGTGTCATTCCAAACCTGTATGAATTTCTTTCTTCTGTTGAACACAAAAGAACAGTATTTTGAAGAATACAGCTGACGGTAGCCATTAACTTCCATAGTATTTGTTTTCCATGCTGTGTAAGTCAATGGCTACCGTCAACTGTTTGATTAGTAGCATTCTTCAAAATATCTTCTTTTGTGTTCATCAGAAGAAAGAAACTCATAGAGGTTTGGAACGACATGAGCGAGAGTAAATGATGACAGAATGATGATCATTTTGGGGGGTGAACTGTCTCTTTAAACAGCATCTCTTGTGCTTTTATATAATTTGAGTTCATTGATCTGGTTTTCGGGGTGATTTTTCACTCTGCTAATGAAGATGATGATTTATGTTTCTGTCTGATTTGTGATTGGACGTGTCCTGACGGGGGTCTCCATGTCTCCTGCTGATGGTGTGTTATATTGATCTGACACTAATACCCCTCTCTCCATTTCACTCCTGCCCCCATCAGACGGATTAACGCTCCCCGCTGGATTGGGGGTCTGTGAGCAGGACAACGCGGGTCCCACAGCAGAATGAGGGGCTGAAGATCCTGACACACACACACACTCACGATTTCTGCAAAAGATTCATGAAAACCACAGCAAAAACATTTTCATTTACATCTCAGACGTGCAGGGGCGTGTCTATGTGGTGGCACCGCCCCCCCCGAAATGAGTAAAGCCTTGAAGTCCTTTTAAGTGTTTTTCTTAATTGAATATGTACAATTTCTCATATGTTAAAAAAAATGTATTTGATTTTATTAATCTCAAAAATTTGAACTTACAGTTTTTTACGATTGCTTAAGCACACTTTTGAAAACAGGGCCCGTTTTGTCAAAACACTACACACAATTAACACAACCCTACACCAAAGTAGCACAACACTTCAGATCATTTGCAAAATGGAACACTTTTGTCAAAACTATACACAACTTTATAAAAACAATATTTTGTTACCATACGAAACACACATTTCATATGACTTTAATCTTTTTGAACCAGTAACAGACTGCTGTTGCTAACCTAAAACACTTTTAGCAAGTCTAAATCTCAGAGATTAGAGTACTGTAAATGAAGTACACAGAGAAAGTGCAACTATACAATAGCTCACCAAACAAGACCAATGCTGCAGACTGACGAAAATATCATTGATTTCTCTCCATATACCCAAATCAGTCAACATGGAGAATCACAACAAAACATGTCCCAGTTGTCATGCTACTACAGTAGTGTGCATAACACTGTTAGCTCAGCAAACAGACAAACGTAAAATACTGTATCCAGTACAGGTTACAATTACAGTAAATAACAACAACAACAACAAACAAAAAATAATCTGAAAAAAACTGACAATATTGTACAGAAAATACTACAGTAAACATACTATACATTATCTCTTCGCCTAGCTGGATCTGGCCAGAGAATTTCATCAACATCACAAGCAATATCCTCATCAATTAATATATTATTAACATCGTCGTGTAGACACTCTGTATGTTATAATGAAAGGATTCGATTGTGATCAGCACAGAACAAAAACTGGTGTGTGTCGCAGCCATCAGGTAAACCAGCATACATTCATGAGGATGAGGAAAGTGTTTTAACTTGAGTAAAGCCCCCAGAACGCCCCCCCCGGCCCCCCTCTATTGAGGCAGTGCCCCAGCCTGGCCCCCCCATTTAAAATGCTCTAGAACCGCCCCTGCAGACGTGAAGATGTATTTGTTTAGTACAGGTGATCTGTCATCATTGATCAGTTAGTTATGGTCAGGTAATAGTTTAATCTAATTTAGAGTCAGTGGTAAACTGCATCAGTGTCTGGACATGATCATAATGAGCCCATCTTAATTAACCGTGACCTTTGACCTGGTGTGTGTCTGTTCATCTTTATTTGCAGTGATGGGACTGATAGCAGGATAAAACATTTATCACAATATTACTGTCTGTCTACTGGCTGCACTACTGCAAACCCAGCCAACAAAAATAAATTCTAAGAACGTTTTGCTAACATTCCCATTAAGTTATAAAGACTTTATTTTAAACGTACAAAATATAATTTTTTTAAAATAATTTGAAAGGTTTTTTGGTTTTTTTTGGATATTGCGAACATTATAAAAAACATTATCCCTCTGGTGTTGTTCAGTCATTTTTGACCAAAAAAAGGTTACATTTTGTTTTTTAAGAATTTTTACTGAATTTGAATGGTACGAAACTTGGCAAAGGTTTTGGCACTTGCTATGTGAACACAAAGAAATCATGGATGCAATTTGAAAAGGTTAAATGGTCCTGAAAAACAATAGTCACACTTGAATGGTTAGTGGTCAAAAATGATGCCACTGAAATTAATGGGGAGTGAATTTCATCAAGTAGAAACGTTTGGTATTGCACCCAAACAAAATCTTACTTTTATTGTTATATTTTGTAATATCAACCTCAAATTTGGAACACAACTTGTTTAGATGTATGCCTTTGATTTTCTTGCAGTTTTAGAGTAAAACATGTTTTGGATAATATATATTTCATATAACATTTTAAAATAGTATTTTTTTTTATACACACAGACACACACACACACATATATATATATATATTTGTGTGTGTGTGTGTGTGTGTGTGTTTGTCTGTGTGTATGAAAAAAAAATACTATTTTAAAATGTTATATGTTAAAATCAAGCTGAAAGTAGTAACATACATTAGGTGAACATCCAACTAAAATATTTCAGAAAACGCTCCATGAACAATGTATAAATAACGTTTTGAGAGCATTCTTAAAATATGATAGATAGATCGATAGACACACAGACAGATAGATAGACAGACAGACATAGTTAGATGGATAGATAGACAGACAGACAGACAGACAGACATAGTTAGATGGATA